AACCATACGGCTCCGATTTCGGAGTCCCCGGCTGGTAGTGGTTAAGGAAATCTGTTGAAAGGGTTTCCATTCTTGACAAGCTCTGCTTCTTATGGGATCCCTCCACATATATTTGCTTCTGCTATACACTGTATATCCCATATGTTGTTGTATGTGGAAATTAAGTGAAATTGATTGATTGTTCAGGTTTGGTGTAAATTTTGGTGTAAATTTGGCATGCCTCAACAGAGCAATCTGAGTTTTACTGTGCTAAAATAAGTTGGTCAATATTTCTAGACTCAAATCCCAGTTTCACCGTCACCCACCTCGGCCATTGCTCTGGCTTGTTCTACCTGGTTGCAGTCCAGATGTGCAAAGATTAACTGCCACACTGCACCATCCATGTCTCTAGCATTCAGTCTATCCACCATCTCTAACACTACCAGATAAAACAAAATGAATTCTTCAACATGGCATCATTTGCCTACAATCTCAGGTTACATTTCCTGACAACCCAATTCTGCCACTGCAGCCCAGTCACCTCATCACTTAGTACAAATGTTGAGTCAAACAAATCTGCAAGTGTTCGCTGCCGAAACCTGCGACCAAAAGCTTGAAGCAGTTTAGTGTGGGCTTGGGTCTATGCAGACAGCTGCAACAACTTCCTCACAACCCACGCCTTCACTGTTTCAATGATTCTGCTATTCAGCATGTACCAAGTCTGTCAAAAATATCAAGGAGAACTAGGCTTTCTCAAGGAAACTGAGAAATTTATTCAAATGGACATGCAACACATATGGCTATGTGGTCTGCCGCATTGCACACTCACAAAGCAGAAATCTTTGCAAAAGGTTTCCAGTTGCAGCTTAAACATGAGCCAAACTACTACAAGAAATTCGACACAACTATCACAGCAACTCTCTCTCCAGTGGTTATGGCCCTGTGGTCTCCAGCCAATGAATACAGTCAACTCTGGATGGGGCCAGCACTGTCAAAACAAACTAGTGTTACAAGGGGCAAGCCCCTGAATATTCTTGAATTCTTGACTTCTCAAGTCCTTTTAAAAACAAGATTCTGGTGTAAACAACCAAGGTCATTTACCTGGTCGCACCAACCTAGTTATATAAGAGTTGACTGCATTAGAATTATCCAGTTTGATGTTCTGCTGAGAAAGAACCACTGCATAAACTCGGTGGTTGCTGCTCCTTAGAGAGAGAGAAAGACATTTTTCTTCCAATTTACAAAACGGAAACAGAGTCTTTTCCTCCTCACCTTCTGTCATGTCAGCTTCCTTCAGGATGAGCTTGGCTAAAAACGACCTGAGACCAATCCGTCGCATCTGGGCCGAGTCCTTCTCCAGTTCCTGCTCGATGAAGCTGACCGCTCCCGAAACGTCTCCCCTGCAAAACAAAGGGCCAACGTTTCAGTTCGGTGGTACACCTGTTCGCACCGTTTCTCCTTCTGAGAATGAAAAGAAATCGTTTGTGCAACTGAGAAAAGCCTGAGACGTATCTGAGCCCGCAAGTGGCTTCTGTGAGGGTATGAGAAAGGGACCAATCAAAAGACATCTAATTATCACCACTTCTCCCGTGCCATGTCAACATTATCATGCCAATCCAGCAGTGGGTGCTGGCTCTGCGCTTTTTCACCCTTTTTTTGCCATTTATCAAAGCTCTGAAGGCTACCCAACTACTGTACATGGGTTACCCTGGGATACTCAAACTGCCCTGCAAGTTTAGTACTTAATGTCCTGATGTAATAACTGCATTACAAGAATACTGCGACACAGGATCATGATACAAAAGCCTGTATCCCAGCACTTGGCACCGAGTAAACTTGGGCAAAAACCTACTAAAGTATTAAGGTCTACAAAACCTTATCTTCTTATACGGCCGTTTCACATTAGTGCGCCACCAAGAGTTTGCAACGTGTTGGCCAATCACAATGCGCAAAATTTGTCATGTTGGGATTTTAATGTAAAATTCTTGATTAAGAATCAATTATTTTTAGTAGTTTTATTATATGTTCCCACACAAAAATGAGAACAAATAAGCCACAAAAAAATTTACAGCAATGTACACATCGGGGATAAAATGAAGCTTACGTACAGCATTCAGGACAACTTTATGGATGAAGAAAATAAATGCATGCTCGTCAAAACAGCTGCCCTGCCTGTAAGAAACTGAAATTCTCCTGATGCACTGTGGCATGCAAATTGCATTAGAATCTTTACACTGCGATGCAGATTCCTTTCTGGGAAAGTGGCATTGAAATACCGACCAATTATAACAATAATAATGAATATTTATAAGGAAAAAGGTTTACAGTGTACTAAATATTCATGAGCTATGACACTCTTTAGCCCACCTTTGGATGTAGGCCCCGAGTATGCATTTTGCCATGGGGAAGTTCTCTCCTGTCTTCTCCTCGTACTTGGCCTTCATCTCCTTCAGCTTGTCCAGGTCTCCCTTCTCTTCGTAGTACGACGCCAAGAGTCGCATTCCCGACCGCAGAGGAGCTATGCCATCTTGTATCTGCTCGTCGTAAACTTGGTGGGCGGCTTCAAAGTTCAGGATGACAGGGGAGAAAAAGGGGAATTGCGGAATAAAAAGTGAACTTTTCTGACAGCGACGGTTTCCAAATGTCAGGAATAGCATTGGATTTCGGGGCAGTTCTCCATATAATGTGAGACGTGCAATAAGCATCTTGCTAAGTACAAAGAGGAGCCTATGGGCCCATGCCCAAT